CTGGGATCGAGCCCCACATCGGGCTCTCTGCCAGCGGGGAGCCTGCTTCCTCCTCTCTCTCTGCCTGCCTCTCTGCCTTCTTGTGATCTCTCTCTGTCAAATAAATAAATAAAATCTTAAAAAAAAAAAAAAAAAGCCTTTGCTTCAGCAGCCCTATTTTTACTGAGATGAGGGTTTGGGTCATGTTACCTTAACCAAAGTAGAAGGTGATTAGGAAGTGGAAGGTGAGTGGGTATGATTCTGTAATAAATGTTAGTTTTTAAAAGACCAGTATTTTGTGCTTTTGGTTTACACTTTTTTCTTGCGGGAATCAGGGAAAGTGCTTCCCTAGAAGTCCCAGCCAGTAGGTTACAAAATTACCGATTCTTAGAGTTTTGCCTACACTTGTCAGGATCACTGAAAAAGAACAAATCTATGTAACGATGTTCAACCATGTCAAATCGCTAAAAGCTGATATTATGCAGTTTTTTACTTTAAAAAGGCAAACAAAACAGCAGTATGTAGTTTCGATGTAGTACGGACGTGCCATATATTAAATGAACTGCACGACTCTGGTGAGAAGATAAGCTCCAGGTTTCTCGAGTAAGGGATAGAAGGCTTCTGGCGTCTCGGGTAACCACAGAGAAGAAAGCTCCTGCTGCTACTCCGGTCGCCTTTTAAGTCTTGGCCACGCCCTGGTTTTGCAGCTGCCGTAAAGTGCGACGTCATGCCACGCCCATTGGGCGCTTTTTATGACGTAGTAGGCCGGGGTGTGGTTTTTTTGCGCGGGAAAAGGGGGCAGTCTGGAGCTCTAGCCTGTGTTGCTGGGACCGGCAGTTTCTGTGGAGTTGTCGCTCGCCCCCTATCCCTGCCGGCTATGGGGTTACTGGAACTGTGTGAGGAAGTGTTTGGTACCAACGACCTTTACCGAGTGTTGGGCGTGCGGCGCGAGGCCTCGGACGGCGAGGTCCGACGCGGCTACCACAAGGTGTCCCTGCGGGTGCATCCCGACCGGGTTGGCGAGGACGACAAAGAGGACGCCACCCGCCGCTTCCAGGTGCGCAAGTCCCGGCTCCACTGGCCGCCCGGCGCCTCCCAGGCGGAGTGCGCCCAACTTGGCCTGGTGTTTTTCTAATTTTTATTTCTCGCAGCGCGGTTTCAGCGAGGGATGCGAGGGTGATTTTTTGTTGCTCTTAACCCGCAGATCCTCGGGAAAGTCTATTCTGTTTTGAGCGACAAAGAGCAGAGAGCATTGTACGATGAGCAGGGAACAGTAGACGAAGATTCTGATGTGCTCAGTCAAGATCGGGACTGGGAGGCGTATTGGAGGTTACTTTTTAAAAAGGTAGAGGACCCTGGAAATTTCTTTGTGGTGATTCTCTTCATTCATTCAACAAACGTTTATTGAATGGTTTTAAGGTACTGCATTTTGTGTTGCGTAGGAATGAGGAATTTCTGTTTCATCCTAAAATACGCATATGTGCAAGTATTCTTCGGGAGATAACATATATTTGAAGAAGAATAAGTCTGTTTAACCGTTAAACATATGTACTTTTACTGAAGTGGGTCTTTAATTTCCTGTTGATGTAGAGCAATTGCAGGGGGAAAGACTTAATATTTTATAAGATAATGCTTTATTTTACATATCGACATGTAAGCCTTGAGTTCTGGGAAACTTCCCTTAAATTTTCCTGGTCTGTAGTTCAGTAGTTGTGAAGGTTGGAATAGGGAAAACTCTGGAAAAGCTTTGGCATAGAAAGTGTGGTTCCTTGCAACAATTTCAACTGAAGCACCTATTGTACTTGGGACTTTCAACACCTCACTCTGGTTTTACTAGTATACTTTTTATTTGAAATTCTCAGAGTTAAAGCATATCTCTCATTTGTTCAGATATCTCTAGAAGACATTCAAGCTTTTGAAAAGACATACAAAGGTTCTGAAGAAGAGCTGGCAGATATTAAACAGGCCTATTTGGATTTCAAAGGTGACATGGATCAGATCATGGAGTCTGTGCTGTGTGTGCAGTACACAGAAGAACCCAGGATAAGGAACATTATTCAGCAAGCCATTGATGCTGGAGAGATCCCGTCCTATAATGCCTTTGTCAAAGAATCGAAGCAAAAGATGAATGCAAGGAAAAGGAGGGTAAGATTTTGAATGCTGTTTTTTTATATGTCAATTGATTCCAAAAAGAATGTGAGGGTATTTACAATAATAGAAATATATAAGGTTACTGAGATGAGAGTAAGGGTTAACTTATTTCTTTTCTAATAAAAGGAGCATATGAGCTCATTAAGAGAAACTTTTTTCCCTAGTATGTTGTGCTCAAGAGGATTTTGCTAGGTGGGTTGTTTAATATCATCTTAAAATAACACTGAAACATTCTTTATGTGGGCCTTCTTGTAGCTTTGTCACAGCTTTCCTCAAGAGATAAAGTAATGGAGTTCAGATACATAAAGTGGACAATGGTTCTCACTTGATTAAAAGATGGGGAGAGGGTGACTAAAACTTTTTTTTTTTTTTAAGATTTTATTTATTTATTTGACAGACAAGTAGGCAGAGAGGCAGGCAGACAGAGAGAGAAAGAGAGAGAGAGAGAGGAGGAGGCAGGCTCCCCGCTGAGCAGAGAGCCTGATGCGGGACTCGATCCCAGGACTCTGGGATCATGACCCGAGCCGAAGGCAGAGGCTTTAACTCACTGAGCCATGCAGGCGCCCCCTAAAACTTTTTTTGAACTGTCTTTTTAATACAGATTTTCTTTTGTTTTTGCCCAGATTGACTCTTGAATTGGACCCAGAATATACATTTCTAAAAAAATGATTTCGTTTATTTTGATGAAAATGTCCTCCCAAACAATTGAAGAGGAAAACTTGTAGCTTCTGTGGAGTTGGTTAGGATAGGGATGATGGCAGGGAAAAGGAGCTTAAAGACAGACAGCTAAAGTTCTGGGACACAAGCCTCTGTGTCACTGGTCTTTTGGGGAGGACCAGACTGGTACTGAAGTAACCATTGCCTCAACCTGGCTTTCCTAGTGGGAGCTCAGCGGAGAGTAGTGTCATATTTTAGGTGCCTTATTTTCTGTGGCTGAATTGGAGGTGGAGGTGGGTCTGCAGTTTTGATACAAGATACATACAGGGGAAAGCTTGGAGGGGGTGTGCACGCATGGAATGTGTATCAAGATTATCATTTTGGGGGTGCATTGCTGACTCAGGCGATAGAGCATCGGACTCTTAATCTCAGGGTTATGAGTTCAAGCCCAACATTGGGCATGGAGCCTACTTTAGAGAAGTCATCATTTTGGCTTATAGGCTGCATCTGTTTAGGCCCGCTCTGACAGTTTCAGCTGGTAGGCCTTTTCTCCAGTGCAACTGAGCACAGCTGTATCCAATAATAGGATATTAGCTTGAGAAACTTCCTTAGAGTTGGGGGCAGGTGGATGGCATAGTTCTTTAGAGAGACTCCAGCAAACCTGGGGAGTGGTATACAGTTTTAAAAGAATTTAATGCAAGGACTAAAAGTAGACAGTGAAAACACTTTTTATTGGAATAACAAAATCCTAATGTATCAGCATCCCAGTATTTATAGAGTGTTCATTGCTATTTAGAAAATTGACTGGGGTTTGGAACCTATTACAGTGTTGTTGCCCTAAAGGAACAAAGTCATTAACCTTTCCCAAGGTATTCTTCCCTCCCCCACCAAGGTATTCTTATGGTATTTTGGAATCAGTGCCATAGGAAAATTTGGCAGAAGGTGGCTTTGAAATTAGGTAAAGAAAGGTTAAAACTGAATTTGTTAGTGTTTATTCTGACTACTTGGGAATTTTAAACCAGGGTTACTCAAGGCTGCCACCAAGTCACATGTAGTTAAAAAGTAGGTTTCCAGAGGAGAGGAATTTGAGATGCCTGTAATGCTGGCAACATTTTTTAAGACATCATTGACTAAATGACCTTTCCTCGCTCTCCCAGCATTTTGTTTTTATTCTTACCGCATGGTTTAAGAATACTAAACTACTTGCTACCCCTAGCTAGTAAAAATGGGGAAAACTCAGAAATGCTTATTGGAATCAGAGGATCTACTGCATGCTGTCAGCAGTGTCGTCTTTTAATGAATGACATATTTATATAATTGTCTTGTTTTAATCTATATATCCCTCAAATTGAAAGGTTCTTACCATAGATTTGCTTTTGGGAAAGAGGGTTTATTTTTAGTATATGCTAGGTTGCCATGGAGTCTAATACGAGTTTCTGATTTAGGCTCAGGAAGAGGCTAAAGAAGCAGAAATAAGCAGGAAGGAGCTGGGCCTTGACGAAGGAGTAGATAACTTGCAATCAATCATTCAGGTAAGCCTGGCAGGTGTTTTTGAAGGTTGTTGCTACTTTTTTCATGTTCTGATCCCTACTGCTACTACTTTCTTCGTAGTGTATAGTGTTGTATTTTGTTTTCTTCTTTAAAAACATAAGTCATCCTTTTAAAGTGCATAATTTAGTTAAGCATATTCATCAAGTTGTAGAACAGCACTAATAACAGAACATTTTTGTCACCCTAAGAAGAAGCTTGTTGCTCATTAGCTGTCATTCCCTGTTCTCCCTTCCACCAGCCTCTGGCAACCACTATGTATTTTTGTCTCTGGATAGCCTTGTGTTTTGAAAGCTTGTGTTTTAACTTCTTAAACAGAGCAGACAAAAGGATCGGCAAAAAGAAATGGACAATTTTCTGGCTCAAATGGAAGCAAAGTACTGCAAACCTTCCAAAAGAGGAGGGAAAAAAACGCCTCTCAAGAAAGAAAAGAAATAATGGAATTTTCTCTTCAGAAGTCCTTAGGTGTTAATTGGCACCATTGTAGGCAAGAAACAGTCAAGATTTGAAGAAAGAAGTTAACCCTGCTCTTGAGAAAAGCTGTCCTTCCAGCCTAAACAACTCCGCTCGACTCTGTACACCAAGCAGAATCTCTCAACCTGATTTTAGTAATCTTAGAAATCCCCTGACATTCTTTGAGGTCCTGCATGAAGGAATTTGGAGATTTTTGTGGGAATGGGGGAGAGTGATGTACTTCCTGGCAGTGCTTGCATCTGTGATCTTCTGTACAAGGAACTTGTATCTAGAATGTGGGTCTGGCCCATATTGCCTATAGCAGTTGTTTTGCCGCACGAGTGTGCACACAGCCGCAGAGTATTCGGAGTGACGTGTGTGATATTAGAACAGTAATTCTGTTCTAGCTCTGCCTAGCTAGAATGCTTTCAGAACACTTGGTGGACATCTTTCTTTCAAATATTTGCCAGTTTGCTTTCAGGCTTAATGTTCTTGAATAGATCCTCTCTCCTTTTTGTTTTACTCAGCCAGGTTTTGTACTCTTTGCTAGAAGTATAGGAGAAGCAGATGTTGAGATTACTTTAAGCATCTTTGTAAGACTTGTACATGATGAAATAAACAAGTTAAAAATGACTGTTAAGTTCTGGGGCCTTTTAAATGATCTCAGTGATCATTTAAACTATGATCTAGAAAAACTAGTGTTGAGAGAAGAGAGAAGAAAAGTAACCAAATTCGCTTTATAGTATGTAGCCAGATTTAAGTAGTATAAAGAAGTTGACCTGCCTGTAACTGTTGAATGTCTGTCCTTAGGTCGCAGATCTTGTTTGAACTTGTTTCCTCATCTGTAAAGGGTGAAGGAGTTGGGCTAAATGACTTCCTAGGGGTTCCTTCGGATTCTCTTAACTTTGAAAGGCAGGCCATCTTGATCCAGTGGTTTGTTATGCACTCATGTATTGATTTGTGAGGATGGTATAGAGATGTTTACTTATATTTAGTCAAATTGTTATGTACTCTTCGGAATATATGGACATTTTTTAGCAACTGATAACTTAAAGTCTTTGAGTTATAGACTTTTATGCATATGGTATTGAATATATAACAACCCTTCTGTTACTGAGTTTTATGTATGCTAATTAATCTGAGGTAAGCACATGACACATTTTTAGTTTGTGATTACAAACAAGTTAAAAAATACTCTTTAATTATATTAAAATATAATTTAATGCAGGTTGTTTGAAGCATCTGTCTTCATATGATAGCATTACTACACTTCGATAAAATAAATACTACCCCTATTTATGATCTTTTGAATTTATCCCCTCTGAAGATTTACAATAAGATCTAAAACTGGTATCATCAAAATTAAAGTTCAGTGAAATTTAAGTAAAATTAATTTAAGCCATAGTTAAAACCACTGCTGCATTTATGAGTGTCCTCCCAAAAAGGTCCATGGTGAAGTCAGAAGAATGCTGAAGTTCTGTACTTCTGCTCTTAGGATATGTTTATGCTAAACTAATTACCAGAGTTTCTGAAATATTGAGGTAATGCTGGCTCACTAATAGGTTCTACAAATTTTTGAAGTCTGCTTAGAGTTTAAGTAGAAAATCTGGTAAGTTGAGTATAATAGTTAAAAAATATATATATGACCACTGAGGTCCTTTAAGAAGAAAAGCATAATCTAGTAGGAAGCAGGCCTTGTGAGGTTGAGCTGTCCTATCTGAAAATATATATACATTATGACTTATATAAGTTAGTTTATACCGATGCTCACATTTATGTCTTTACTTAGCCTTTCCATATCTCTTTGCCTATAAGATTGGACATCTAAAGAGAAAGCTTTAGGAATGACATCTGTTTGATGAGTAACTCAGATTTTTGACAGCTCTGTCTCCTAAAACTGCCTTAAAAATGAGTGGACCTCTCCAGAAATTCATACAAGCAGAAGTATTGTGAGGCCGGTGATAATGTTATCAAACAATTATTTGCTTTTTGTGTATGTATAGTCTCATAGAATCCTGTAATAATTGAGCTGATCATTGTTAACAGACAACATGAGATTTGGGGATAATAATTCATTTGTTACTTCTTTGGGTACAAATTTTAAGTCCAGTGGAATAGGCTAACTTAGGCTGAAAGAAGACAGGAACTGGAGAGAGAAACAGTACCCATGTAATTTTTGGCGGATCCTCTTTTTTTCTCAGTCAGTTATACCAGATTAACACTTCATGAAGACGGTTTTAAGTGGTCTCTTGTATACAAGCTTTGTGACACAAGATGACTGAACACTGATTCATGAATTTTTCTCACGTTGTTCCCTGCAGCCTGAAGCACTTTCTTCTCATTTCCCCTATGGCCCCTGCCTGCTTCTAGAGACTGGTCCACCTCTGTTTTGAGATTTTGTAGACCCATGTAACTGAGGACCTGTCAGACAAAGGTGACATCATAGAGTAACATTAGTAGACATTATAGATTTGGTAATCTCAAGTTCATATTTAAGGGCTTTTTTCTTTAATTATCAGTTGGACTTAAGTTTGGAGACTGGGACTAAGTGATAAAGTATATATTCAGTAAAAACCACATTTGCATTATTTTATCATGTAAAACCAGAAAAACTATTAAGATACGAAATCTAGTTTTAGAGAAGAGGCCACTGGGTGCCTGGGTGGCTTAGTCAGTTAAGCGTCTGCCTTCGTCCCAGGTCATGGTCCCAGGGTCCCAGGATTGAGTCCTAAATTGGGCTCTGCTCAGTGGGAAGTCGCTTCTCTCTGCCCTTCCTCCTTGCTTGTACACACGCACGCTCGCTCTCTCAGATAAATAAAATCTTTAAAAAAAGAAAAAATCATTAGAGAAGAGGCTAATTAGAAAGGACTAACGTGTCTGTCTGAAATGTTGCAACTGTCAACAAGGTTGAATGTAGTAACTCTAGCTCAGAGGCAGCATTGCTTCTGTATGAAGACTAATCCAAGAAAGAATCCATGGAAAGCATTCAGAGACTACCAAACAATGCTAATAGGAAATGAACAAGAGAATTCACTTGGATGACAGAGATGGTTTGAGGCAGATTACCTTTGATTACTCTTCTTAACCGGAAAGCATTTCAACTGCCTAATACTTTTGCTTTCACTTACAACATAAAAATGACCCTGATGGTTGTGAATATATTTATGGGAAGAATTAAGATATCCTTAAGTTTTCTCCCCTTCTATGAAAATACAATCTATAGAATATGACTTAGAAATCAAAACATAATGGGATGGACAGACTCCACATGTCTTGATATTTTTGAATTTCTTTTTTTTACCTTGGCCTAGCAGGTTAACTGACCGAAGCAGTTTATTCTATAGCGCTATGGATTTTGCCTACGTAATAAAATCCATGCAGTGTTTGAATGTTATAAACATGACTTATGTAGCATAAACTTTTTAGATTGGAAAAACATAGTAGTTTACTTTGCCAGAGTGGTGAGAAGTTAATGTATATATCTGGAACTTGGCTCTGAGCAATAGAGGTCTCCTCTGTTTTTCTTATTATCCCATTTCCAAAAGGAATTTGAGGTGATTTACAAAGATGTAGGAAAACAAAATACGATAAAATCTAGAAGAAGGGAAAATAAACATAGAAAACAAAGGCAGTGTCTTAACATAGCCACATTATAGTAAAATAAGAGCCATGGTCCCACCTGTCACTGCAGATCCTCTACCAGGTCGGGCCTGATGAGGATACTCAACAGCACATGAATGATGATACTGTGTATCTGGCTGCAAAAGAGAAAAGATGACACACTTTTTATGATGTAACTTCTCCCAAAGGATAATGTGTTAGTAGGTTTACAGGGAAAACCTTAAAATCAGACAACCATATAAATGGCATTGTCTGACAGTCTGAGGGACAAGTTGGCTGAATGCGTTCTTTTTTTTCAAGTAAAAAATTCTAAGTCAGAGGCCCACAAAGCCATTTGTTAACATGTAAAAACATTTTAAGTTCTTCTTTTAACTTTAAGTTCTAAACTTAGTTAATATGCCTTTAAGAAAATCTTAGCACTGGGGTGCCTGGGTGGCTCAGTGGTTTAAAGCCTCTGCCTTCAGCTCAGGTCATGATTGTAGGATCCTGGGATCGAAACCTGCATCAGGCTCTCCGCTTAGGGGGGAGCCTGCTTCCTCCTCTCTCTCTGCCTACTTGTGATCTCTGTCTGTCAAAAATTAAATAAAATTTTTAAAAATAAATAAATAAATAAGAAAGTCTTAGCACTTATAAATAATCCATATGGTTTAATATTTTTAAGTATTTATAATTGGCTGCCAAGGGAATTTTATCTAATTTAGACTGCTGATTGTTTAAAACAACAGAATGGAGCCTTTTCAGTAACCTTGAAACACCCATGATTTTACCTCCATACTTGAGATGTGACTCTCATCATGAAACATTTCAAAATTACCTCAAGGAATTTAAAGATTTTTAGACGTGGCTAAAATACTGAAACGCAAATACCAAAAAAAGCTGTCAGTGCCATTCCGCTGGTGCTTCTGGAATAAAGAACTTCCCTCTCCATTCCCTGTCAGAGCACTGCAGTCGAGATCTCAGGAATTTTTTTCTGGTGAAGCCCCATATTTTCTTTTAAATTGGGGTCACCAAACTTCTTTAGGGGACCAGACAGTAAATATTTTAGGCTTTGTGGCACATACTGTTGCGGCTATTCAACTCTGCTGTCATGGTGGGAAAGCAGTCCTAGACAGTACATAATGAGTATGGTAGCTCTACTCTAATAAAACCTGATGTACAGAAATGGGCCATTTTTGTGGGAAGCCAAATGGCCCATAACAGTTGCTTGCTGACTCCTCTTCGAGATGAGAACACCAAAGAGCAGAGTGTTAATCTGAAAATGCCAAGCCAGGGACCCGGATCTGGTGTGCTGAGTTACACTGAGCTACCAGCTCATCTCCCTTTGCATGACAGCACATCGGGAGAGAACTAGCTAAGGTACGAAATTCTTACTTTATTGTTATAAACATCAGGGAAAAAAAAGAAACTGAAATGACTTCATCTGTTTAGTTTAATTGCTAAGGCAACCAAAAATTAAATGTTTTATAGGGAATCTAGTTGTAGAATATAATCATCAAGCACTGCATAGCAAATGCTCTGAATCAAATTATGAGATGATTAAAAGAGGTTTTCAGACTTTCTAGGATTCACATGGAGTAAGAATCAGCAATGCTCACGTTTTCCTTTAGCTCCTATTTTGGTGAATCTCTCCCTAAGTAAAGCATTTTGAGGTTTGTTGAGTTGGATAGTGTCCCCCATCCCCTACCCCCGCCCAAATTTATGTCTGCCTGGAACCCGTGAATATGACTTTATTTGGAAGTAGGATCTTTGCAGATGTAGTCAAGATAAGATGAGGTCATATTATGTTAGGGTCAGCCATAAATTCAGTGATGTGTATCTTCATAAGAGGGAAATTTGGACACAGAGACACGCAGGGAAGAAGGCTATTTGAAGGCAGAGGCGGAAATTGGGATTGATGTGGCTGCAAACCAAGGAGTACCAAGAATGGCTGGCAACCACCAGTCAAGAAGAGATAAAAAAAAATCCTTTCCTACAGCCTGGAGAGGGAACATGGTTCTGCTGACACCTTGACTGGACTTCTAAGCTCTGGAACCAATAGAATAAATTTCTGTTGTTTTAAGCCACCCAGTCTGTGGTGATTTGTTATGGTAGCCCTAGGAAACTAGACCGTCTCATTAATTTGTTCTCACCGCTCTTTTAGTGGAGAATTGTATAGTGCTTGAGGCTGATACAGTACAAGGCTTATAAGTCGGAATAAGTGGGCTTCAGATATCACCATCCTGAAAAGTGGCATAGGATTTGAGGCCCCTGGCGCCTGGACACTGCACGTGGCTCCACTTCCCCAGGCTCTTCAAATGCTCTTGCCACAAAGCAGATGTGGTGGGGCTGAGTGGCTGGCCTACAGCTGGGTAAGGTCAGTGCAGGACCTCCAACCTCCCAACTAAGCTTTTTCTAGTACTTGCTTAAAAGTAAAAGGGCCAGTAAATGCACATTAAATGGTAAGGTGATGTGAGCATCTCAACACCAATTTAAAAAAATGTCATGACTTGCCATCCATCAGTCCACATCATAATCTGATAGCACTTTTTGGTGTAACTCCCTAAGAGCAGTGTGAGAGGAGTTATGCTGATTTGATGTATTGGAGTTCAACATTTTTTTGCCTATTCTCAGAAATATCTAACAATTTAATATTTAACAATTTAAATTGTTTAAAATTTGTGACTTATGTATAAAGCATTTTACCTTATTACCTTTTTAAATTCTATTTGAGTGTCAGAGGCCAGTTAGAATTTCAATAAAATGTACTTAACAACACTATTTTTATGGTTAAGAGCCTCCGCTTTTATTCTTGGAGTTGATTAAGGGACTATGTGAAATTTTAAGTCTGCCAAACTAGTTCTTTTCTTTCCCCAACTGTCAAGACCATAGAGGAAGTATGTCACTACCAAAAATGATTGAGTTGTGTTGGGCCTGGAGAAGAAGTCCGGTAGAAGGAGCCTCTCCTGGGGCTGCTGATGGTTAGGCTCATCCACCACCGCACTTCGAGCTCGACTGGAGTCGCCGTGGGTTTTCTGCAGGGAAGGCAAGAATTACAGAAACTGTTAAATCAGTTTGTAGTGCATCAACCCAAGTAGGCATGGTAACTGTAGGCCAAGCAGCTCCAGTTCCATTGTCATAAAGTGAGGATTCAGTTTGTACTCTTGACAAAATATAGTATAAATTAATTCCAGAACAGGGATCCTGCAGAATTACTGCCCATGAGGTTTTATAAGCACATGGAAAGGCAACAGGAGAAAGACATACCATTTGCCTTTGTGGCCCCACGGTGCTCAAGTGTTCCACGTCAGCTGTGCCAATAGGGGGCAGCAGATTGTTTCGGCTCAGGGGCATTGGTGAGGGAGAGAGCGAGTCAGCGGCTACTGGGCTGCAGATCCCACCAGCGAACACCAAGATATGCAAGGATAGTTATAATAATACAAGCAAACTGATTAGAATCAAATAAATGAGGGAGATGAGTTTAACGTCATGCACAGAATGCTTCCTATGTTTTTAAGTAAAGCAATCTCAGTGAAACGATTTTGGAAAATCAAGAGTTGAGGGGTTGGTTTTCAAAATATTTTCTGATTTGGGTTGAAACTTTATCCTGGGCACACAGCAGCAGTCGACCCTTTGTCTCACAGAGAGCTGGTGTTATACTATTTTGGTGGTAACCTATTATGGATTTGTAATTTCACATCTGGTGGAATTCACAGTTCTGGGCCTTTTGGTTGTCCTTTTCACTAATAACAGTAGTCCTTCCTTATCCATTGTTTTGTTTTCCATGATTTCAGTTACCCATGGTCACTGGGGTCCAGAAGTACGTGATCCTCATTCTGATGTATTGTCAGAAGGTCACTGTAGCCTAATGCTGCCTCACAGTGCCTCCATTGTTAACCTCACTTCATCTCATCACGTAGACATTCTGTCATCTCACATCATCACAAGAAGGATGAGTGTAATACAGTGAGATATGAGAGAGACATTCACATAGATTTTATTCCAGTATACTATTATAATTGTTCCACTTTATTATTAGTTATTGTTAATCTCCTACCATACCCAATTTAGAGGTTAGACTTTATCATAGGTACGTATGTATAAGAAAAAAACATAGTATATATAAGGCTTGGTGCTGTCTGCAGTTTCAGGCTCCATGGGGGGTCTTGGGACATATCCCCTGTGGATAAGGGGGGACTACTGTAATTATAAGTGCCAGGTAAATTTCTTAAACTTTTCTTCCATGGCATTTCCAGCAGTTTTTAGCATTTCTCATACTCAAGACAGTACCTGTAAATCAATGATACTTTCATGTCCCAGAAGAAACAAGGTAACTTGTTTCCACTTTGATGAAATTATCAGAAGGTATGAGGATTAATTATGCTTCAAGAACACTCATCCTCAATTGAGTGAATCTATATCAATACCAGCATCAACATAGTAAAATAGTGGGTAGGTGAGAAGAACTCTGGTGTCCTGACAAAGATTTTTGGGCATTACGGACATCTCTTTTAGTGAATCTATTGGGATTAATTAAAACAAATTGAAAAAGAAGTATAAGGATGTCCATAATTTAGAAGCTGAATTCAAAACATAGTTACAGCCATATTATCTTATACCCTTGATTATAGTCTTAGACTCAAACATCCTGAGATGTTTTGTGAGTCAACAACTAATGAAAGAATTTTATTTTAAAAAGTAGGCTACTAAGTGTTTTTTACATGACAAAGCTCAGAGTGAATTAAGGGTGGGAAAAGGAAAAAATATGGTTAGTGTTATTTCCTAGGAATTACCAAGGTATATTTTTCCTGGTATATAGACAAGTACTTAGCTTAGGTTAAAATGTTATCATTTGTCAATGGAATAAGCAGATCCCAGTGGTACAGAAAAATATTAAAGGAGAGTTAACTTATTTTGGGATGAATTTCACTGAGCACTGAGGAAAGTGTTGATAAGATACATAGATCTTATTCCTTCGATAAGTGTCACTGAAGTATTCTAGCTGACATTTTATTGTAGAAGTAAATAGCTAAATAGCTAAGTAAATAGCTAAATCAACACATCTAATACCTGAATTTTATTCAGATTTAATCACATTTCTTTCTCTGTTGGATTTAAACCAGTGTGTAGTCAGTCCATCATGAAAATATCTAATGATTGGTTTCTAGGCATATATTTCAACCTTACATTTAAATTCATTCTCTATGTAAAATTATTCTTCATTAGTTTTACCACAGTTTCCCCAAATTCTGCTTTTGAAACCTACACTCGGGATCCTCTGAGTATTTCTTCCACAGGTCTTGGCGTTCCAGCGCGTGAATGGCTTGTGCTGATGGGATGAAGGGTACGTGGTGGGGGATTGCGTCTCCTGGCAGACTGTACTGTGTATGATAGAGCTGATGTACTAAGCTCCAGGGCTCGATTTGGCCAATTTCGAGTTGAAAGGATGGTACTGGATCCAGGTCTCATAAGTAACTTGTCATCAAGATCTCTAGTGGCCAAATCAGAAACCCACAATGAAATCAACATTGCTCTGTATAGGGAAACAAGACTCAAAGGCTTAGACTATATATTCAAGGGAGAAAAAAAGCAAAAGTAAATAACCTAATTTATACAAATCACATAATCTAGCCTCAGGCATGAGAACACGTTCTTAAAAGGACAGCATTTTAGCCATACAGGTAATTTACTAGAATGGAGACTTGGGGGTGCCTGGGTGGCTCAGTTGGTTAAGTGACTGCCTTTTGCTCAGGTCATGATCCTGGAGTCCCGGGATGGAGACCCGCATCAGGCGCCCAGCTCCACGGGGAGTCTGCTTCTCCCTCTGACCTTCTGATCTTCTCCCCTCTCATGCTCACTCTCTCTCTCTCAATAGAATAAATGAATAAAATCTTAAAAAAAAAAAAAAAAGAATGGAGACTTGGGAAAGCAAGTCCATTATTCACCTGCCATGACAGTCACTTCTTCAGTTACAGTGAAGGCTGACCTGAAGATTCCCTGCTTTGGAGTGCTTCCTGAAAGTTCACCCCAGGGACTGAGATTCCTATCATATTGGAAGCCTTCTTTGTGCTGAAGGAAAGACTTAGTTGAAAGGCAAATAATTACTGCTTAGGAGTAGTGTGGCACCAGCGAGGCTCCCACTCAAAGATTAAAATGCTGAGCTCATTGGAGCCTGAGGGGGCGGGGTGTGTTTGGTTCTTTGGAAAGCTGGAGCAGGCAAACCGTCCAGAGCCTCATGCTGCGCAGGTAACTGGGGCTACTGTAGGTCCCTGTCTGCACAAGCAACTAAAGTAAAACACTTTCCTGTAAGTACTCTGATAAGTAGAATACTATGCCCAAATAGTTAAGGAACTTACTCTGCCCTACAGATTCCAGATTTTTTTGTTTTTGTTTTGTTTTTTTAAGTGGGTGCAATACTTGTAAGACACCTGAGAGACACTATTTGGACAAGGAAATGGAGGGAAAGAGAATTAAGCTCTGCCACATGCTCTTTTGGCTTTCAGCAAGTTCTCCAAACGTCGAGGCCACTTTGCTATCCTGTAGTGCAAAATTACCTCAGTGTTTGGAGGACTTTGAAGGGCAAATACCCTCCAAGAAATGGAGCTAAACCTTGAGCATTACTCACAAGAGATTGTGCTGGTCTTCCTGCCATCATAACCATTCACTTATTAGCCTTTTCTTTACACACCTTAACTGCTTTCTGTGACAAGAAGCTTTAGCTGCTTCATGCTTACCTTTGTCTTCTGAACTACTCATTCATTATTCTGGATTCAGTTATCACCTTTAGCCTTGTAACTTCTAGATCAACCTCCAAATCTGACCTTTTCCATATTTCCGGTGAGATGGCTCGGCATTGTTAACTCAACATGCCCCAAACCAAATTTATCTTTACCCCACAACAAACTTCCCTTGAGCTTTGAAATCTCAGAGTTGACTTTGGTTCCTCTATTTATATAGAATCTGATTTCTTTCGCAATATCTCCTAAAATACTACATTCCTTTATCCTTTGGGACAACCCTGAATATAGACTATTAGTAGCTTATGGTTGAACTCCTATATTAGAATCTTTACCTTCAGTTCCTCCTGCTTCAATTGAGTCTATGTTCTTCTGCTGTAAAATCTATTTTTCAGATTCCTGACTTAAACTGTGTGCCCCCCCCCAAGTGAAATTCATATGTTGGTGGGAGTGTCAAAAGGCATACTTACTTTGGAAAACTGTATGGCAGTTTCTTACAAAGTTAAACATACACTTATCTATCCTATGACAATCTATACATACTGACTCAAGAAAAATAGACCATAGGTCCACAGAAAATACCTGCGCAAGAATGTTTATGGTGCCTTTGCATAAGAGCTGCAACCTGGAAACACCCCATATGTTCATTAGCAGAAGAGTAGAAAACAAATTGTAGTGTATTCTTACAATAGAATATACTTAGCAATAAAAGAAGGTCACATGCAACATCATGAATGGATCTCAAAAACATGGCATTCAGAACCTTCTAGTCTGGTCACAGCCTTCATTAATTTCATAGTCTTCTTCCTCGTGAATCACACCATGATCTATTTTAATTCTGGAAGATTGTCAGTGATCTTTGGTCAGAAGCATTAAAATTCTGACCTATCCCTTTTCTTACTATAGTAAAACCGGTCTACTTTCCCTTCTAAATAGTTTGTATTTTTTGTCTCCAGACCTTTTCCTACACCATTCCTCCTATCTAGAATAGTCTTGTTGCTCTTCTCTGCTTAGCCAAACTCTCATCTTTGAAGGAAAAGTTCATACTATAGTTAGCCACCCAAATGCCCCCCTTCTTTGGGACTGTCATGCTTTCACTCTGAGTACCACACCCTTGACGTTCAGTCACAACAATGCCCTGTGTGGTTAAGTCTCTTTTTACCCGCATGTGTCTTCTCTTTGCAGTTACATTATCAGGTCCTTGAGGGTGGAAACCATTTCCCTTAGATGTTTTTACTCCCCAGATGTCTCTGTGGTTGCTTGGTAGGTGCTCAATATATGCATGATGATTGGCTGATTGAGCTTTCCTTTTATTTCTCAGTGATCTAGGTAAATTTTAGAGTCTATTAAAATTTTACACTTCTTACAGTAGTTTGTCCATTAGGGAGAGATTTCTTGGCTGTAGAGGCATCCCATGAACCAAGAGACCATTCACGTTTGGCTGATGACCACTTGCTGCTTGACAGAGATTCATCTATATGTCAAAAGAAAATGTTACTTGTTATTGGTTAGTGAAGACATTTGCTGTGTTTCCCAACTTTGCCAAAACTTAATATTTTCAAATTAGATAATCTGTGCATTTTTCTCCTGTGCCTTAACTTTTATAACGTCTTTGGCCAGTAGCCGAGCTGGGGCTTCAAGTCCACTGTCAGGATGACAAGTCAGACTCCTTTTCTTTTCATTTCTAAATGACAGCAGGTGGGGGAAGTCTGATCAACCGAGATGAAAGCAGTTAACAGCCACTCAGGGGAGCGAGAACTCCATTACTATCATTATTTACGTTAGAAAAGAAAACCTAAGAAGAAAAAATATGGAACCAATATAGAAAAAATTAGGAGTAAACTCTGACATAATCTCTTTCACCATCAAACAGTCTTATGCTCTGCACAAACTAGTCCCTTATCTTTCCCTACCCCTGGGGCAGTCAGCTATCAGTCATAACCTAAGTTCTGAAGACCGTAACTAGCAAGCGTTCTCGCGTTAGCAGGATTTAATCTTCCATGGACTGACATTGCCATCTTGGCGTGCTGTTAATTTTCTCTGTCAGGTCATCAGTTCAGTGCGCTTTCTGGCCAGCTCCTTTGCCACAGCACGCATTTTCCTCCTACTTTCTCTCAGGAATAAGTGAATTAATGCTTCTTTTTCCTTGATCGTTTCCTTGGCCATTCCTTCTTTTTCCTTAGCCAGGAACATTTAAGTTAATTATGCATAACTTAGGCTACCTATCCCATAGTCAGGCCACTTCGGCATGTTAGAAGTATTTTATTACCGTGAAAGGAACATTAGTTCACCTGGCTAATCCTCCAGTGTGGTAAGATATGGATGGGCCTTGCTGATTTTATTTTTAAATAACCCATTTGTAAATCCAGTAGCACAATATCAGGCCAGTAAGCCAACAAAGCAAATACTAAGTTTGGTAGTGAAACCCAGGGTTGATGAGCATGGCTCAAGGATTAGAATCCCCCTGCAGCGCCCCCATCCCGTTTTGGTGTTTTGCTTTTGATTTTTGTTTTTGGTCAGAAGTAACACTGGGAAACTATCATGTAGCAACTAGATAAATCATTACACAGGGATGAGACCAGGCTCATTAGCCTTCTATAAGAAATGACCATGTTTATGCTTGTCCACAGACTTCACTGGGACCACTTGTTCCTTACTTTGGTTTGCCTTTTACACCTCAGTTATTAACCAGTCCTAAACACGCAAAAGGCAGAAAAGTCAACAGATTCAAATATCAAAAATAAAAACCAGGTAGGCTGAGATAAAAGAAAAGGGAGTCAAATGGAGAAATTCAAAGGATAGGATGTTAAGGCCACAGAACATCTGAGATTGGTCCCCCTTTCTGTCATATCCTTTATTCTTTCCAGACAGACTTGGGCTAACCACATAGCTGATTATACATTGCATAACTTATGGATGACTTTTAAAAAGAGGGGACTGAGGGGTATGTGGGTGGCTCAGTTGTTAAGCATCTGCCATTGGCTCAGGTCACGATCTGAGGATTCTGGGATGAAGCCCCTGCGTTGGTCTCCCTGCTCAGTGAGGAGCCTGCTTCTCCTCCCTCTCACTCTCCCCCTGCTCATGCTCTCTCTCTCTCTCTCTTTCTCAAATAAGTAAATAAATCTTAAATAAAATATTTTTTAAAAGAGGCCATTTGTTTAAAAAAAAGCTGACTGGAAATTATCAATCCTAATTTGCTATTAATTTTTTAAAAATTTCTTTTAGAGCGCATGTGTGCACGCCCAGGGAGAGCTGGAGGAAGGGGAGGGGCAGAGGGAGGGGAGAGAGAATCTTAAGCAGGCTCCAGGTCCAGTGCAGAAACTGCCCCAGAGCTTGATCTCACAGCCCTGAGATCATGACCTGAGTCGAAATCAAGAGTGGGACCAACTGAGGCACCAGGTGTCCCATTATTAATTTTTTAAATGTATCAATGCAAAGAGTCACTGGCTTATTATGATAAACACATAGCTTTACTGAAAAAAATTGAGTCATAAATAATAAAATTAAGGCAAATAACTCTGAGCAAGCTTCTTCTGGCAAGAACAGCCCTAGGTTCTCCAGTACATTCCTGTGTAGAGCTTACTGGATTTGAGGTGATGGACGGCACCTTCAACTGTGGCACTCGAGGTAACACCAAAGGTTGTGGTTCGCTCAGCACGCAGGGGCTTTCTGAAGCTGGTCTGGTGATTGCAACGTTACTCTCATCATCTGAGCAAAGGAACAGAATCTATTATCCATGGATATCTTCAGACCCACAGCAAAACAGTAAAAAAAATCTTCCCCAAGAATTCCTAATCTCAAACTAGGCTTCACTCATTTTTGCAGCCTAATTTCATACCACCTGCATGTTTAAAACAACAACAACAAACAGCCTTAAGTTAAGTTAGTTTAGAGTGTTTTCCCAGGCTGATGATGCCTATTGGTACCCGGCAGAAGGAAAAACAAAGATCTTTAGAGCAAAGATATCCAATAGAACACTTGGGGTTAATGGAAATGTTCTACAGATGAACTAATATAATGGCTTCTGGCCACATGTGGCTCTAGAGCCCTTAAAGTCTGGCTAGTGTTACTGAGCAACAGACTTTTAAATTGTTGTTAATTTTAACAAATTAAAATTTAAATAGCCAAGCAGATTTAGAAGAGAAAAAAAAAAAACGCAAAGGAGAACGAAAATGGCTAAAATTAAAAACAGCAGAATTAATAGATTTAGATATCTGTTGCTGAAGACAAGTAGTGAGCTGGAAAAAAAAGATGTCAAGAACTAATTCTGAATTCAATGCAGAGGAAAGGAGATGAAAAATATGAACTGTACTCTAAAAAGTTAGTTTTACTATATGGAAACTATACCTTGTTTTAAAAATGGACAAATAAAATCACAGCGAAATATCCTTTTCGACATTGATAGTTAAACATTGATCAGGATACTGATGTGATTGTCAATATAGGAACTGTTAGTGGGCATATAGAACTGGCACAGTCTTGTTGGATAATTTGGTGTGATCTCTAGTAAACTGAAGATGTATATTCTCTATGACCCAGCAACTCTATTCCTTGGTATTTACCCTAGAGGGAATCTTGCACGTGTGTACCAAGAGAAATATTTAAGATCGTTTAAGGCATCATTGGTCATAACTGCAAAACACTGGACCTGGGGATTTTAGCACTTCTTACCATCAGTTATGGCTCCAAAGCTCAACTCAGGATGAGGAATCATGTTTCTGAGTAGAATTAATATGCACTCTGGGTCTTCATTGTTTTTAAATCACTTCCATTATCATCATTTGGTTTACAATAATATACTGTGGTTTCCTTGAGAGAAACTATATCTTGACAAAAACGTCCAGTGAAGCTTGTTTCCTCATTAGCAAATTAGGATTAATAGTAAAAATAATTATCCTTTTTAATTAATTATATTATTATTTGTTTTTATTTTAAAATATTTTTTGTAATTTTGATTTTAAAACTAGTCTGATTAAAAGTTTAAAAAAGACCATTAAAATAAGTCAGAAAAATATTTATATGTTCTTAGCATTTTATATACTTCTGGGTTACAGTTGACAAACCTTAATATACCACAAGTTGTCACATGATCCTATGTAGTTTGATTTTGTTTCTCATGTAGGGGTAGAAAAAGTTGCTTTAGTAGCAGGGATAAGCTTATACCAGCACCCACAGGTCGGCTCTGAGAGCAGCTAGCCAACTGGTCCACACCAAAGCCAAAAAGCCAAGAGTTCTCTTTTAGGAACTATTGTATATGCTTTAATTTAATGTAACCCATTTATTCCTTATACAACCCTATGTTAGTATTCTATTGTTCCATAGATTTAAAAAAAAAAACTGCATCACAGTGAGTTTAAGAAACTTGCATAGGGTATAAAGTTAGTGTCAGAACCAGAGCTCAAATACAGGTTTGTCTGGTAACAAACTGCTTTTTTTTTTTTAATATTTTATTTATTTATTTGACAGACAGAGATCACAAGTAGGCAGAGAGGCAGGCAGAGAGAGAAGAGGAAGCAGGCTCCCTGCTGAGCAGAGAGCCCGATGCGGGGCTCGATCCCAGAACCCTGGGATCATGACCTGAGCCAAAGGCAGAGGCTTAACCCACTGAGCCACCCAGGCACCCCACAAACTGCTTTTAACCATTATAGGATATGACTTCTCACAGGGATAAATTTTAGAGCAGGTGTTGGCTAACTATGGCCCATGCATGGACCAAATATGATCCATTACCTGTTTATCTTATTGCAATAAAACGTGTGTAACACAAAATTTACCATTTTAACCATCTTAAAATGTACATTTCAGTGGCAGTAAGTACATGCATAATGTGCAGTCATCATCACTGGTTCCGTAAGTTTTTCATCACCTCAAAGGGAAATCTCATGCCCATTACTATTGCTAGTTTTTATAAATAAAGTTGCAACAGTACTTTATTTTCTTTGCTGTATAACACTGTCTTGTATGAATGTATCACACTGTAGTGCTGTGGGACATTTGGGTAGTTGCAAGTTTTTATTTTCTAGCATGTGGTGCTATTATGGACATTCTTATGCATGTTTCAGTGAGTATATATAGTGCATACGGGGAGATGTATATAACCACATTCTCTCATTCTCATATTGTTTATGGCCTCTTTCAAGGGCAGAGTTGAGTAACTGCAACAGACTGGATGACTGGCAAGGACTGGCTCTTATACACAAAGTTTGGTGACTTCTCTTTTAGGGGGTCAACTCACTAAACAATCAGTCCACTAAACCACTTAGAGATCCTCCAGCTCCATTTCAAGATCAGTTTCTTGAAGCTGGACTTGATACTGAAAATTGAAGGAGTTCCTTTATTTACCACCAGTAGTGTTTATTATTACAGCAGTTCAGATGTAACTATGGACTTTATCATTTATCTGTTATTTCCAAAAACTTAAACTCATATGATATAAATCGGGTTTTTTTTTTTAAAGATTTTATTTACTTATTTGACAGAGAGCGCACAAACAGAGGGAGGGACAGGCAGAGGGAGAGGGAGAAGCATGCTCTCCACTGAGCAGGGAACCTTATGCAGAACTTGATCCCAGGACCCTGGGATCATGACCTGAACCAAAGGCAGATGCTTAACCAACTGAGCCACCCAGGCACCCCTAAACCAGTTAATTTTTAAAGGGTGTTAGTTCTCGGGAAACCTGGGTGTCTCAGTGGGTTAAAGCCTCTGCCTTCAGCTTGGGTCATAATCCCGGCGTCCTGGGATTGAGCCCCGCATCAGGCTCTCTGCTCAGCGGGGAGCCTACTTCCCTTCTTCTTCCTCTGCCTGCCTCTCTGCCTATTTGTGATCTCAGTCTGTCAAATAAATAAATAAAATCTTTTAAAAAAATAAAGGGTATTAGTTCTGTTTTCCAATTCCAGCTTTATTTATTTTTAAGATTTTATTTATTTGTTTGTTTGTTTATTTATTTATTTATATGAGGGGGGAAGGGGCAGAAGAGAGAGAATCCTAAGCAGACTCCCTGCTGAGTACACAGCCCCACATGGGGCTCAATCCCACAACCCTGAGATCATGACCTGAGCTGAAATCAACAGTTGGATGCTTAACAGACTGAGCCACTCAGGTGCCCCTCTAATCCCGGCTTTAAAAGAGAACTTGACATGCATACAACAGAGTGGCTTAAGGAAGAGCCCACATAGACAGGATCAAATGTAGCAAACGTGGAGCAACTGGAACTCTCATACAATACTGGAGAGTGTAAATGGGTGCAACCACCTTGGAAATTTTTTGACAGTCCCCACTGAAGTTGGAATAGCATATCTTATGACCTAGCAGTGCTACTCTAGTACATATGTTCACCAAAAGACGTGTACAAGAATGTTCCTGACAATACCGTATTTTTTCAAATATAAACTGCAAACTACTCAAATATCCATTAACAGTAAAATGTGATCTAGCCATATGATAGAATATGATATAACAACAAAACTATTATTCCAAGCAAAATAATTGCATCTAACAACGTTGAGTTTAAAAAGACAGATACAAAATGGTATATACTATAGGAATCCATTCTTATAAGTTAGGCTAGGGTTACTCTTAGGGTTGTAGGAGTTCAGTGACTGAAAGAAAGCATGAGAAGGGCTTATGAAGTGTTGGTAATATTCTGTTCTTGGTCTGGTTGCTGGTCATACGTGTGGATTCATTTTTTTAAATTGAAACCTATTTAACATTAGTTTCAGGTGCATAGCACAATGATTTGACAATTATGTACATTTCAAAATGCTCACTGCGGTAAGTGTAGTTACCATCTCTGACCATACAAAGTTACTACATTATTATTGACTATGTTCCCTATGCTGTACTTTTCATCCGAGTGACATACTTATTTTATAACTGGCAGTTTGTACCTCTTATTCCCCTTCACCATTTCACCTATCACTCCCCACCCTCCCCTCTGGCAACAACTAGTTTGCTTTCTATGAGTCTGTTTCTGTTTTTCATGTTCGTTCCTTTGTTTTTTTTATATTACATGTATAAGTGAAATCATGGTATTTATATTTTTCTATCTTATTTCACTTGACATAATACTTCTTAAGACCATCCTTGCTGTTGGGAATGGCAAGATTTCATTTTTTATGGCTGAGTAGTACTCCACTGTGTATATATATCACATCTTTACCCATTCCTCTATCAGTGGACACTTAGGCTGCTTCCATATCTTGGCTGTTGTAAATCAATAATGCTGCAATAAACATAGGGGTGCATATATCTTTTCAAATTAGCTATTTGTTTCCTTTCACTAAATCTCCAGAAGTGAAATTACAGGATTGTATGGTACTCAATTTTTAATTTTTTGAGGAACCTCCATACTCTTTTCCATAGTGACTACAGCAATTTACATTCTCACCAATAGTGCATAAAAGTTTCCTTTTTCCACATCCTTGTCAACGTGTCATAGTTCTTGTCTTTTTTCTTTTTTTTTTTTTTTTTAAGTAAGCTCTATGCCCATCATGGGGCTTGAGCTCATGACCCTAAGATCAAGAGTCACATGCTCTACTGACTGAGCCAGACAGATTCCCCAGTTCTTGTCTTTTTGATATTGGTCATCTGACTGGTGTGAGGTCTCACTGTGGTTTTGATTTGAATTTTCCCGATGATTAGTGATGTTGAGCATCTTTTCATGTGTCTGTTGGCCATGAGTATGTCTTCTTTGGAAAAATGTTTATTCA